AGGCCATATCAGTGAAAGAGTGAGCTGAGAAAGACGCTTCTGCTGCGCAGAAATTGATATACTTAGAATGGGATCATATTACCAGAACCGATCTGCTCGCCGAGTGTCTGGCCAGTCTGACCTTCAGCAAACATGTTGCCAATAATGCCGAGCATGGCAAGGCGACCATTAGCCATCTCCGCATTCAGCTTCTGCGTTTTCTTCTCCGGTCCGTATTTGGCGCCAAAGAAACCAACGTTATAGTCGCCGTCATACTTAGATGCAGGCCACCAGGCCATCTCAACTAGTCCTGTGAAGAGCAGGATCTGCGCGATACCAGCAGCTGGAACCTTGAAGATACCCTGGCCGCCGTTCGGGATGTCGGAGAACTTGAGCTGTTGAGAGAGAGAGAGGTAGCCCGGGAATTCCACGTTGGCGTTGTGCGCGATGCATCCTACCATCGCCACCATGGCAATGCGGCCATGTTTACGTTCAACGGCACGGCGGCGTTCAAAGCCTATATATAATTGATTTTGAATTATTCAGAGTCTTCGTATGAACTCACCCTCTGGCTGGTTGGTGCTCAACCCAAGCGGGTCCCAGAAACCTGCCGGCGCTTGGACCCCGATCGCCTATCGACGTTTCCTAACGGGTCGAAAGACAAAGCTCAGGAACGCTGGAGCACGCGGTTTCATCGACTGCAGATCCATCGAGAACGAGGCCCACGGCAGGCGTCGTTGGCGCCACGAAGGCCGAGGCAGCTGAGAAAGTCAACGCGAGGAGAAGCTGCTGCATATTATTGCCCGCTACCTTGTAGATGCCGTCGCGCGATCTTCTTCGCCCTGAGACTAACCCTATAGGAAAATCTGTGAGGACAGCTAGGCTACGGCGGTCCGGAGCGAGGCGGCGCCGGTCATATTTTCGAGTGCCCACCAGACGGTGTGCGGTGCAGCGACCAACGTACATCTACGCCGGGGCATAGGTGTTAGAATCCGAGTATGCTAGTATGCAGCACCAGCATAGTATAGCTAGATAGTATAGCATGCCACTGTAGGAAGTTAGGATAGTTTATTTCACCTTTCCATTTTCCGTCTAGGTCAGGAACACTGCCATTTCCCCCCAAGTAGGGGCGTACTTGCCTGGCTTCATGCATGTCCCTGATTCGAAACTCTCTAAGGCAAATATGTCTTGTTCGAGGAGAAGACTCAGGGTGGTTTGCAACACTCAATGCCGCCTTGTTGTCAATCATGATAGGGATCATCGCTGGAATCTCCTGGTTTAAACCTTGGTTTGGAAACAAGAATGGAAAGTCGCTCTGTAGAGTATGATATACACCGGCGTCTCTGTTATCCTCACGTCACCTCAGCTGCGGTAGTATACGGGGGCTGGGACCGCAGGCTGGGGCGAGGCTGGGGCTACTGGACGAACGGGCAGAGGACCTGCCTCACTAGGTCCAGGAAGACTCTCCGTCTATTACAGTGCGGGACGCAACTATAACAGGGTTAGAAAGTATTAAGGGAGGGAAAGGATGTTGGGTGGCTCTGTACCAGCGAGCCACTAGGGAGATACAAAACTCTCTATCTCTCTAACCAAGTAGCCAGGCGCTGCGGCCAGGCGCTGGGCGGCAGCTGAAGGCTGCAGTGCCGTTTGGGCCCCCGGGCGCGGCCCAAACTGGAACGCGGCCGATTTCCCGGGAGCTGGCTACCCCCCATGCGACCCACATGCGACCCGCATGTGCAACCCGCATGCGGCACCTGTGCGACACCCCATGTAGTCGCAGCTTGACGCGAAAGCCACGCGAGGTATCATGAGTGCACAAGATGTGTCTTGTGCATAATGCTGTGATGTCAAGGAACATAAATGTAAAATTTTGGATTCAGGTCATCTCTTTTTAAGTACCTGTGCGAATGCTAAGAATGATGAGCATTCTACTAGTGCTTGGGACAATGGTGCACGCTCTCGCTCAATCAGCCCTTCCACTCGCTGGCGTATCAGCTTACTCTCTGGTGCAAAATTCTGCACCTGGTGAATTACTTCTCCTACTAATTCTTGATGTGAAAGCCTGACATCCCAGAGCATTTAAAACATGAAGCTGTCAGGTAGACTCACCGTTTGCGGGCCTTCAAAATCCGTACGATGCTGTAAAAGAGGAATCAATCTTAATGTTATGAAATAAAATCTTACGTTGCATCTATGCTAAACCCACGTTGCTGTTGTATTTCTACGTCAACCTTCTTCTTACCTTCACCGTCCAATGCGGACATTTGAACAAGGAATCTCTTGAGCTTGGACGAAAAAGATGCATTTGAGTGAAACGAGTCCATCAGACAGTTGATGGTTCGAGGGTGGCCCGTTTTCTTAAGAAGACGATATTTTCCGCAGGAAAGAGAGTGCAGAACTCTTTTCCCGGTTGTTTCATCTATTGCCATCTGGTCACGGATCTCGTGGAATGACATCGCATCCGTTCTGCTGCTGAGGCCAAGCAGAGCCATCGCTTGAAACGCGGTCATAGTCATATCATACGATCGATCACTGAATCCTCCCTTGACAATTACGTCTCCAAGCGCATATATCCATGACAATATGCGATGACTGTGACGTTCTTTGTACCACTTATCGAACATAGACTGTGCATTACTCATTTCGCGAGACAATTGCAGCTCTCGTTGTTTCTGCGATGGCCAAAATCCTTGGGTGAGCACTTGGACGGAAAAGTTCATTTTTAGCTGATCAGCTGGCAACCCTTCTACTCTCAGCTTATTAAGATGTGAGCTCCAAGTCTGATCAAGCTCCTTGCCTGTAAGGCAATCATCTGTAAGGCAATCATGAAAATATCAATACAGCTTGATACACACCTAAAGTAAAGTCGTTCACCATTCCTTCCAACTTAGTGGTAAAGGGCGCGCCCTGCTGTGTCTTCATCTTCACTATCATCGACTTTTCAGTATGAATTGCTGTGGACCTCCTTGATAAAAGCCTCTTGGCCAATTGTTCGCGGTAGAGCTCGGCATAGAGGTCCTTGTCCGACAGAAATTGGAAGAGTTGAATGATCTGCTCCAGGCAGGATTCGACTTCTTCTTCTGCAAGCCGCACTTTCCCACTTAACACTCGATCTGTGTGCATAACTAGCATCTCAACATTGGAGATGTCCGGGGTGGCATCTGTGTTTATCACGTCTTGAAAGGCTTCCTTTAATGCACGTTGAAATTGGTTTTCTCCATCGAAGAGATCAAAAACAAGCGTGCTCATTTTGGCATGCAAAGCTAAGAGGCAATTAATCATACTAGGGTCGTCTGCGGTTACTTTTTTCCCCTCGGATTTTAGAGCCTGAACAAGATCACGGCGCTGTTGGAGCAGCTTGCCACCTTGAATTTGAACAAACTTCTTAGTTGTGGTTGCCATCGGTGTCAGTCCATCAGATATTCGCCGAAACAAATCGAACATGCGCTTGAGATCCTCAGCTCGATCCTCAGCAAGCAGAGCTATCAAGCCACTTTGTTCTCGTTCGATCAGTACTTCTTTGTGTTTTTGGAGCAATTCTCTTTCGCAGGTGCCAAGTAGTTTTTGCTGGCTGGACATATGAAGATATCGGCTGACTCTCTCTCTTTCAGAATCTAGAGCAGCCTCCGCCTTTCTCAAGTAAGACGGCGTCGACTTCGCCCCGAGCCAGTCTATGCTTTTCCGTGCATAGTAATCGGAGGTTCTCTCCAGTAACAAAGTTTCAAAATCAGCTTCATACACGGTAAGATCCGGCTGTGTGTTCAAGACCGATTGAACGGTCTTCAAATCTGTGCACTTTGAACACAGTCCCATTACGGGAAAAACTTCTACGCACGATCTCAATAACTGTGGATCTATATCGGCGCCGTCCCGCTCTTTGTCGATAGCGTTTATCAGCGAGTCACATATCTCTCCTTTGAATCGATCGAAAACAATGTCAAAAAAAAGTTTCAAACCCACCGATGTAATAGTCGAGATTGACGAGTTTGCAACGTAGCCGTTATCAAGATGTCTGAACAGCTGCTGCATCCATTTGACAAAGACCTTGTGGTTTTCCCAATGGTGTGAAAACCTGCTCAGAATCATGTGACCCCCGTCTGTAAGATTCTTCTTTAGTTCGGGCACAACATGGTTTTGAAGGACATTCTCTATCTCGCTTTTGGTTCTATCATACAGAGCTTTTGAATGGTCACATGTACCAGCATTCGAACACATTCGATAAGATATTGTGTACAGAGACACATAGCCTTTGTTGCCAAAGGGTCGCTTTTCTGATGCTTTACCTTGCAGTATGTCGACCAAAACGCATATTCCGTTCTCTCGGAGCCTCGCCCATCCCTACGAAGCGTTTGAAATTTGGTATTTTTGTCTCGGTTACCTCCTCCAGGGGAATTTCGGCAGTCTCCATAGATTTTTCAGTTGCATAGTTCAACAGGATCTCCTCTCTCTCCCCCACCGATCTACTCAACGACATGTGAGTTGCTTAGCCTGCGCATCAGCCCGCGCCGGCCGGTACTAGAGTAACCTATCATAAACCGAGTCGACGGCCGCGGGCCCCACTTAGGGAATCCAAAGTGATCCTGTGGGACCAAACTCCAATTGGCCATTTCAATGACTCAGCCTTCTTGAAGTATCCAGCCAACTATCTCGCACTCAAGATCTACCTCAACTTACTCTCAAGGTCTACTTCCTTCCTTCCACTCCAGGGACCGTAGTCTCAGCCTACTGACTCAGGGGCAGCACGAGTACCTTGAATGGGACAGCCGGAAGGACCTCTGCCGTTTAGATGACGAGAGCTACAAGGCCCTCACAACAGAGAGACTCGAGCGCGATTGACCAGCGCACGCGCGCCTATGGAGGTAATTTGCCCTCAGCCTGACTCTTGACTAGGGTATGGTAATAATTAGTTAGTAGACTCCCCACTCGAGTAGGCAGTCTAATCTGCGATCGGTAGAGAGATAGAGAGTTTTGTATCTCCCTAGTGGCTCGCTGGTACAGAGCCACCCAATGTCCTTCCCCTCCTTGGCCGCTGCCTTTCCGGAAATGATTGACGTCCCCAGTAGTGGGTTTCTCTGATGCCGATTGGCTGCCCAAGGCCTCAGATGGAGAGCAAATGAAAAGCACCTCGGGACATTGCTTTTATGTATTTGGTAATTTAGTGCAGTGGAACTCAAAGCGTCAAACTATTACGGCAGCCAGTACAAGCCCCGCGCGGTCGAAAAAAGCTCCTGCGGACGCGCCTGGGAGGCGCGTCCGCAGGAGTCGTCGCCCCTCCGGGGCTCCGAAAACAGACCCTTCACAGACGTACGTGGTACGGCCGCTACGCGGCCGTGCTCCCCCCGGGCCTACTGAGCCTACTGGCCCTGGTGCTGCTCAGGCTGGCCGTCGGCTGCGCTGCGCTGGCGCCAGCGCGGCATATTAGTGCATGTCCATTGAGTGTGATACACTCCTCGGCCACATGGAGGCTTACGACGCTGGACGTTGCGAATTCGAACTTCCAGGCGGGGTGGTATATCGAGGTTGAAACGCTGCAGGTCTTGCCCGCTCCAGTAAGCGCGCCCGTCCTAGTGGGGGCGCGTGCCTTTAAGTATGGCTTTAAATATGTCAGTGCAGGATGCCTCGCAGAGAGGATCGCTGAGGATCGCTGGTTTATCCCAAAGTACTGAGATCCTCCTTCCCTGGCGCTAACGCCAGTAGGTCAGTCCACGTAACTCTCGCAGCTGCCCCTGCGAGCCACAGCCAGCAGTTCTATCTAGCTGGATGATGATAGGTGGTCTAAACTCACTAACTCGGTACCGGAAACATATTGTACTGCCGTAAGTACTGTTTTATACGCCACTGGCAGTGCAGGCGCTTGCCTTGGCCACAAGATATATTATATACCAACATGGGAGAAAACACTGCAAGGCCCAACTCTTCGCTCCGCACGCTGGTGAGTCCATCCAGGTGGGATCGACTCAAAGACATTCGTGTAGTGCGAAGCCTATGGCATCTGTCACGAACATTTCCTCGAGGGAGTATACGCATCGGACCTGAATTGCTTCATGGGAGGGTTAGAATTCAACACTCTCCAGTTCATGCAAGCTTTTCCATCCATCCGGACATTGTGTATTATTAAACAGGCAACCAGTCCAGTCCCTCTTCTTCTAAACCTGTTTCCAGGACAACATAAGATGCATCGATGGGCTGCAAGGCTGTAGCCAGCTTGGATCCCTTTGGATATCGGAATGTCGTGTGAAAGAAATCAATGGACTCGAATCTTGCGTCGATCTTATCAATCTGCACCTTAGTTCCAATAGTATCCGTCAGATCGATGGTCTTTCTAAACTCACTGCTTTGCAAGTGCGTCCAGGGATGAAGTACGGCAATGATGTGATGTGCTCGCAGGTTCTCTGGCTCAACAACAACGGCATCAAGAAGATTGAGGGGCTTGAGTTCCTTGCCGCCCTCCGTGTTCTATGGCTGTGTAGCAATGAAATAGCTTCGATAGGAGGCTGCAACTGGCAGTGTCTTGTGAGATATCCAATCATGAGATAAAAGGGTCATTGATTGTCACACAGCCCTATCAAGCAATCAAACTCTGGAGGAGTTGAATGTATCTGAGAACAAGATCAGCTCCTTCAGAGATATATTGAATCTATCGAGGTTGAAATCACTTAAAAGCCTCTCCTTCACAGACCCCCACTTTGGTGACAACCCGATTTGTCGATTGTGCAATTACCAAACTTATGTAACTTACCACATCCCGGGACTACAGTCACTAGATGCGGGGAGCATCGGCGAAAATGCAAAACGCCTTGCCAAAGCTATATATCTGAAGAAGAAGATGTACTACAACATGCGGATGAAGACTCTTAAACTTTATGGGACGAATATAATCAAGAGGGGAATAGAGGTGCACTCGAAGAAAGTGGACTACATCCAACAAACTCTCGATTCACTGAATAGACTGCAAAAGGTCCATCTTGTACGCTCTCCCCAGATATTGAAGATAGCTTATTTCAGGAAGTCCTGAGGGGGAATCTGGCCGGCCTCTGTCCATCCTCGCGCATGTTGCTTCGCCTCGAAGAGGTCAGAAAAATTATACAATAGCTCACCACAGAAGCCCCCGGGACAGATTTTATTGAATTTTACCCTACATAAGGTGCATGTTCAAAGCATGGATGGTACTCGCAGCATTCAAGTTCTCATATCACAAGCTATTGAGGTCAGCAGCATAGTTGGTTTGTGCTTAAGAAGGCTTTCTCAGGCCATGGAGACCCACCTTGTCTATGCAGAGAATCTCTTCAAGTGCATGCGTAAGGTAGGCTCAGTAGTATGATGACATTCAACCAGTCTTTGTAGCGAGTTTCGAGCATATCTTTGTTCAGTTCGGCGCGTATGTTGCTCGAACTCGATACGGGTGGCAATGTCCGGCTTGAGGAGGGCAAATCTACAGACGCTTGGTTTCGTAACTGTGCCGAACTTGTGGGCTCTAGATTTGTTCCTGAGGTGCGTTTAGATACCGGGGGTTGTTTCTATTCCACCGACCTGCTTTCAGGAATACTGGAATACGGGCATAACAGGGATCGAGGTTAGTTGTATTTTTAGCCCCAGAAAAAAATTACTGCCCAGGTCAACCGTGTGATACGAATTCATAATCGCCACCTTCGAAGCAGATTTGACGATCGAGTACAGGAGCTGATCGACCTAGACATGGGTCCAGCTGCGAAATCGAAGCGATCTTATGAGTATTTGTTCTACGGCGAAGTACCATTACTCTCCCAGAAGACTAAAGCAGAAGACGAGATTCTTAGAATAGCAGAGGCAAGGAAGCTGCACTTCAATTCAAAAGAATAAATGTTACTTATTCAGGAGGGCTTTCGTCTTCCAGAAGAGTACCAGCAGCTAGGGTACAGCGCCGCAGTAAGTCTGTCAAGCTCTATATCGGGAGCCGACCACGAGCGTATTTGTTTTCATGCAGAATTAGATCATGCAAGCGATACAGGGGTCACACAAGGAGATAATCTAGCCATATATCATGGTCAGCTCGTTATTGTCAAGGCATATGTCGCTGACTGCATCAATATTGACGGGACAGTGGCTGTCATGGGATCAGCGACTCAAAGTTCCATAGCTTTGGGGACAAATGGGGACTTTAAGCACAAGCAGGTAATCTTATCAATTTGTTGCTGGGTGAGCAATTGTTCTGTACGTAGTTTCTTATCTTTGACAATGCTATCGCTTTGCCAGAATATATAATCTCGTTCGAATATCTCTCTGAGGATCAAACAAACCCCCCAAATAGCAGAATATTGCCAATGGAAAAGTTTGCGAACTATATTGACGGCATCGGCGGTAAAAATGAGTTCTCGGATCAAGAATTAATTGACTACATGCCTTACTTGATGCCATTGGTTTTTTTCATGCAGCGCTTGGACTCGAACTGGCTAAATCACAAGTACGAGCTTAGGACTCTTTGCGAACAAGTTTGCCACATTGTCTCGGAGCTGCCTCAAAAGGGACCGACGTGTCTGACTGCTTCCATGCTGCTAGCCAAAGGTAAGACAGGCGATCTTTCGACCATAGTATATTTGAACTTGCATGGGCTCGGTATCACGAGAATCGAAGAGCTGGACGCTTGTCGGCACATTGAGGATCTTATCTTGAGCTGTAATGCAATCGAAGAAGTCGAGGGCCTCACTTCTTTACTACATGTCAAGGCACTAGATTTAAGTTTCAATAAATTGAAAAAAATGAATGGGGTTTCTGGAATGTCCAAACTCCGTTCACTACTTTTGAATCATAATCAGCTCAGCCGACTGGAGGATCTGAGCATAGTTCGTAAGCATGCCGCATCATTGACTGAGATTGACCTGCGTGGTAATTTCTTTTGCAAAGAAAAGGATTACCGCTGCACTACTCTTAGATTCCTATCATCGTTGCAAATACTTGATGGATCAGCCATTGGCAAAAGAGAAAAATCTAAAATTAAGATAGAGCTTTTGGAGTTAAGTTTGGATAAAATACTGCTAAATCACCTGTCTGAACTTGCGGCAGAGAATGATGTGAGCAAGTCCAAAGCTGGGGACTGGACGCTTCAGGTTGAGGTATTGAACATCAATCATGAAGGCTTAGTGAGAGTCAAAAATGTCGAAAGGCTCGTAAACTTGCGACGGGCATCATTTGCCCACAACGTAATTGTCAGCGTTGATGGTCTAGGCTGCTGCACTGCCCTCGAGGATCTGTCCCTGGAAGATAACCGTATCGCATGCTGTGACAATCTACAATATTGCCAGTTGCTCAGGAGATTGGATGTGAGTCAAAATGAACTGCATGAAATAGAAAACCTAGGATCACTTCGGAATTTAACTCAGCTTTCGATGGAAAATAATTTAATCTCAGGCCTTTCCACATTAATTTATTTCTCTGTTCTAATGGAATTATATATCGGAAACAATCAGATCGCAAGCATACAAGAAATTGACTATCTGCGTCAACTGCCAAAACTGATCATACTGGACTTGTCAGGGAATCCTCTCTGCAGTGCAGTGGATTATCGCCTTTACACCCTATTCCGAATGCGCAGGCTCAAAGTCCTCGATGGAAGCAGTGTACAGATCGAAGAATTCACGCAGGCGCGAGAAAAATTTAGCGGCAAGCTGACTCGAGAGATTCTCTCAAGTCGCCTGGGGCACAAATCGTACATGCATGTTTGCCAGCTTGAGATATCTTCCCTCAAGCTTCGTGATTTGTCTATTCTCGATCAGCTTGATTTTTCAAATCTAAGTGAACTAATTGCTGACAACAATCAGCTTAGTGTGCTGCCGTGTTGTGTATTCCAGCTCTTCTGTTACTCATGTTATTTAGGCACCCTACCGTCGCTACGGAACATCTGCAAGCTGAAAATTCTCAGGCTAAATCGAAACCGGATAGAAACCGCGATTCGTTTGCCGCCGTCGGCTGAAGCCGCACAGTCTGAATTGGCTTCTTTGTGGAAATTGGAGGTGCTTGAGCTAGCACACAACCGTGTGACTGACGTGCGCGATTTGCTACTACATCGATATCCTCTTTTGCATGTTCTCACGCTCCAAAGCAATCTCGTATGCCATGTAGCCGGGCTTGGACCCTGCAATGAGCTCCACGAACTCGATTTGAGCAAGAATCGCATAAGGCAATTTTCACCGGAGGATACTGTTGGGTTGGCATTATTGCGCGAGTTGCACATGGAGGAAGCAGGCCTTAGGTCATTGTTGCACCTCACCCCACTGAAGAGCCTGATCAATCTACACTTAGCGTTTAACCGAATTGGTGATATCTGGGAGCTCGAAAGATTATCTGGTGTGGGTTGTATCACTGAAATTACAATGTGTAATAACCCGGTCGCCCGTAAGCAGCTCTACCGTCCAACATTAATTTGCCAGATTCCATCGGTGTGCTGGATCGATGGGCGTGAAGTCTTAGAGGATGAGAGAGACCGCGCTGAGGTGTTTTTGAGAATGGAGAGACCTTTGCATTCTTTTCTGCATGAAGTACATCCAGTTAGAGTGGAATCAACATCGAAACAAGCCGCCGGTCGCATATCCCCCTTGAACATGTCAAGCAGTTTTGCTGTGGGAATATTATCCGATCCAGGCGCATCAACTCAACGAGCACACCGGTCAGATGCTAAGCACCCACAGACTGTGTCAAAGCGAACCTCGTTTTTGCCCCATTAGCTCTCACCTCAGCGGTGCCCTGAGAAACACAAACTCCGCCAGGAAAACCACCAGTCTAGAACACGCTGCCAGCAGCCAGTTGCCGATCTCCCCCGCGCTGTCGCTAGCGAGGTATAAACTCCGGGATAGGGGGGCAGCCTACTGGGGCTGCCCTGCTGTCCGAGGGTGAATTACCGAGGCTGCGCAGTGGCGGTACACCGGCGTCTCTACATTATCCCCACGGAACCTCAGCTGCCGTAGTATACCGGGGCCGGGGCTACGGGACGAACGGGCAGAGGACCTGCCTCACTAGGTCCAGGAGGACTCTCCGCCTATTACAGTGCGCAATCAGTTATAGCAGGGTTAGAAAGTAGAGAGATAGAGAGATTTTTATCTTCATCTTCAGTGAACTGCATCTTGATGTTGCAGTGCACCTTACCCCACTGCGCTCCTACTGCGTATCCTGCTAGTCTTCCCTTCCCTTCCTTAATTCATTCTAATCCAGTTTCAAGTCTTATAGACAGCGAACTGAAGGAGTGACTGCCAAGCAGGCACAGAGTGCATAGCGCTCTTCTGTGTCTGTGGTGTCTGTCTGGTTGAGAGAGAGAGGCAGACATCAAGGTCAGTCTATATTTTTTGCAACTAGGGATACTCTCATATTCCTCTGACTAGAGAAAACTCTCTAACAGTGCGCAAAACAAAAAATTGAAATGAATTGTCCCACGTCCGTTGGGGGGAAGTGTCACTGCACATTGAAGATATATCATCCGATTCCCAGCCCGAACCAACGACCCCAGCCTCTCAAAACGCCTCAGGTGATATGTTTAGCGCGGTAACTTGAGAGCGCGGCCTGGCGCCGCCGGGGCCATAATTCACCAATTTTGCCTCAATTTGAGTTCCGGCGTGACCCCCGCGCGCACGGTGGACGGAGGACCTCTATGAGGAGCTCCCGTCGGGCGACCGCCGATGAATAATTAATAATTCCTATGGCCGCGTCCATCCCTATGGTTGTTTTGCGCACTGCTATCTAACCCTCGGAATCCGGAGGTGCAACGTAAACTTGGTATTCTATCCGGCGAGCCACTTGATACTTCTGTTCGATTAATGCATGGTCATCGGATGGATCGGCTGCTTTTTGCTTATATCCCGATTTATTGGTTTACTGATTGATTATTCGATTTATTGATTTATTGATCAATCGGTATGCCATTAAACGCAGAAGCTAGTGCGTGGACTCCCGTTGCCACTGCTTCAAAGGCTGCGATCACAGTAGATCCCATACCAGGAGTTTCAGAAGTCGGGGTGAGCTGCGCAACTCCCAGTGAGGCAATCATAGCGCGCTCCAAGAGAATGAATGGAATGGATCGGCATGTTACCTTCGACACATCAATGAAGCTGTCTGAATCTGCAGCCTCTAGCTGCACAATGAAAACGTCCAATTCTGTAGTAGTGACCGAGATGTTTCACGATGAGAAAATGCACGTCGCAAAGTCCAATGAGCATTCCTCATTTGGAGCGTTTGTGAAGAAGGTTCAAAGTCTAGAGCCAGATCAACCCAATGCCAAGCGGCTTGAGATGTCTGCATCCTCGCAGCCCGCTGCAACTTCCCTGTCGGACTCTAGGCAGATGACAATCGCACAGCAGTCGATGTCCATTGAAGATTTTTCGTACCAGCGAGACATAGGCGCTGGCTCTTTTGGACGTGTAATTCTAGTAGTTCATCAGAACTCCAGGCTGGTCTTGGCAATGAAAACCATATCGAAAAAAGTGTTGCGACGCAAAAAGATCGCTCAGGAAGAATGGCGGCTAGAGAGAGATGTTCTAGTGAAAATAGAAGCGCACCCTTACATCGTTGAATTACTCTGCTCTTTCCAGACAGCTAGTCATTTCTTCCTTGTGATGGCTTATCTGCCCCGGGGAGAACTCTTCACGTTTTTGCGTCGTCGCGGCACTTTCCCCGAAGACGTTGCTGCATTTTACAGTGCAGAAGTCACTCTTGCGATAGAACATCTGCGCTTAATCAGCGTAGAAAATTTTCAAGTATCACACAGAAAGCGTACCCAGGCACGCGTCCAGGGTAATCCATCGGGACTTGAAGCCTGAGAATCTGCTCATGGATGATGATGGCCATGTGGTTGTGACAGACTTTGGGCTTGCTAAAATGTTCGATTCGGACGAAGAGCGACACCGCACACTTTGTGGGACAGATGCATACATGGCCCCGGAAATGGTCGCCAGGCGCTCGTATGGCAAGCCTGTGGACTTTTGGTCACTTGGAATATTGATATTTGAGATGCTCACAGGCAAACCACCATTTGCCCATCGAGACACAAAGGAGCTCCACCGCAAAATCCTTTCAGAAAAGGTCAAATGGCCCCAGTTCATAGGACCTGAAGCGATCAGGTTACTTCGAGGCTTGCTCGAGCGCCAAGTTCCAAAGCGCCTTGGTGCGATCAAAGCGACCATGTTTGAGGTCGGTGGTGTTTCGGCTTTGAAGAATCAGTCATTCTTTGCAAAGATCGAGTGGCATCGCTTGTTACGCCGCGAGTCTCCAGCTCCTTTCTCGCCTTCTACTCCGGAGGAATGGCAAGCTGTAGAAGAAAGTGATCAATTACCTCAAGTCCCACCGAGGCAGCTCCTTGCCGACTTTCTCGAAGAGAGCACCTCAGACACGAACTCTGATATGCTCACTGTGGTAGACTTTGAATTTACACGAGCGGGTGCATTTCAAACCGTAGTCTAAATCTGATGCGCTCTATCCATTGGTGGAAAAAGCACATTGCACATTGCTGATTCAAGTGCCTTCTCTGTGAGAAAGGGGAATATGATTGTTACGCACGGGGGAGTGACCTTCTCGCGCAGGCTGCCTGAATTCATGCTGGCTCAGGGTGAAAAGCAAAACTTTTTGAGGCGCCAGCCGCGCGGTGGGGACTATCTGCGTTAAGCTAGCCGCGCCGGGATATTAGTCGGGTCGAGTGGGGCCTAAAGGGAGGCTGAAGACCGGGGGGGGAATCCGCGCGCGTCTACCCCCTGCTGGGTGTATCTTGTGCCGGCACAGTGTGCCGGCAGATCTAGCGGAAGGGGGGGGTGTTGCTCCGCCAGTGGCCTCGGCGGCACCCCTGCGTGCGGAGCGGGGTGGTACATCTTACGCGAGGTAAATGGCCTACCCCAGCCGTCACACCCACGTCGCGCCCAAAACCAAGGGGCGTACCCA